CTGGGATTGGCCAGGAGCCAGGTGTATCGGACTCCGAGGAGGATACGTCTTGGCTGGATCCACGCCAGCGTCGGAGGGACAAGCGTGCGCAGCAGCTAAAACGCCGTGCCAGAGATTTCAGCTGAGTCACTGGGCCACACCCCACAGGCTATATAAGCAAGGGGTGTGCCGTTTGAAACTCTTGTGATGAACAATTTTGGTGAATCTTATGTTGCAGCACTCCGGCAATTATCCTGGACTTGTCTTGTGTTTGTATTGTGTTATCAGTAAAGGTCTTGGCAGGCAGCCACGGAGTTGCTGCCAAGTGTTTATCTGTATTTGGCAGTGCTGAGCAGTCTTTTAGCCCTCGGCTGACTGGTTGGGGTGTGTGAGTCGGACGGGGGACAGAACAGGAAAGGTGGAAACCATTGGACACATACTCCTTCGATGTTCCTCCTATAAAGCTATTCAGAAAAACTATATCCTCAGAATTGGACTCGGAAACTGAATTAGTCAAAGATTGTATGATTAAATGGGCTCAAAATATAGGAGAAACAATACCTATGGACACTTGGGAGTTAATCTGGGTGAGAAATGTGAAGTTTACACAAGCTCAAAATTTACGTGAGAATTTTTATAAAATGTTTTATAGATGGCACTTGGACCCTTCAACTATGTCTCGTATTTATGCGAATTATGAATCCAAGTGTTGGAGGTGTGGACATCCAGATGCAACTTTTTTTCATATGTGGTGGACTTGTAAGGTTATTAAGGTCTTTTGGATACAATTGTGGTGGAACTTACAGCAAATTTTTTAAAAAAGGATTATTTTTCTTCCACAGTTGTTTCTTTTAGGTATTGTGCAAGATTTAGATGCAAAAGAAACAAATTTGATGCTTTATTGTTTAACTGCTGCCCGTTTGTTGATAGCCCAAAATTGGAAGAGCCCAATTCTGCCTACAATGGAAGACTGGAGATTGAAAGTTTCGTATCTTGCTGAAATGGCAAAGATTTCGGCTTATCTGAAGAATCACTCAAATGAACAATTTTTATCAATATGGAGAAGATGGATTGTTTATATTCAAAAGAAGTATAGAGTGGTAGAATATAACTTAGGTTTTTAGATTTTCTTTTTTTTAATTTGTTTATTCTTTCTATCTTTTTTGTAGATTAAGATAATTTGTGGAGTTAGGGATATTAGTATTTGTTTACTCATATATGAATATTATCCTGGGATTAGGTTTGGGAAGTCCGGGGGGGGATGGGGGGGGTTTACTTGTTACTGTGTTTATTATGCTTTTGATTGTTTTTTTATGATGGAAAATAATAAAATTTCTTTGGGGAAAAAAAAAAAAACAAAAAACAACTATATCCTCCCCATAATTGATAGGTATCCTGGTCGTTCAGAAAGTATTTATCTCCAGTGGCTGCTTAAGGATAAGCAGGCAGTGATCACGGCGCAGGTGGCTAGATTCTGCGCAGCAGCACTGGGGATTCGCCAGAAACATAAATAAACATTTTAGATCTTTTTAATAATCTTTTATAATCAATTTTATTACGTGTTTTTATCCAGCATTAGACTATAGTCAATGTATTTTTATTGTCATGTCAGTATGATTCAGTTTTTCTGAAGCGAGCTAGTTTTTTTTTTTTTATACTGTCTGTAAACTAGGCAGACCTTGGTCACCCATTGATTACATCATTAATGGTAATATATTGCTATGTCTTCTTGGGTTGGTTCTGTTTAGTTTTGTTTTATTTGAATGTTTAATTTATGTGTTGGCCTTCGGCTGTAATAATAATAATAAAAATATGTCAAGTATCCTTCTCTAAAGAAATTAACTTGATGCTGAATCTGATAACAGCTGCAAGGTTATTAGTAGGGCAATATTGGAAGAAGGATTGCTTGCCTACTATAGAAGAATGGACGCTTAAAGTTTCAAATTTAGCAGAAATGGCCAAGATTTCTGCTTATTTGAAGGATCATTCACAAGAAAGATACACTTCGGTTTGGAGAAGATGGATAGATTATATTCAGAATAAATATGG